CATAAAACAATGATATATATGTAAGAGATAGTGTAGATATTATGTAATTTAGTATATGGCTAATGTATCAGTTTATAAAGCCAATAAAATAATAATAAAAAAAAAAAAAAACCATTTGAAAAATTTAAGCCATTATGAGATGCATCTTAATGAGTACTATCGTCTATCAATTTTGCGCGATCAGCCGAGTTGTTTCTTAGTAAATGAGTCAAATTTTCGTCCACGTTTTAGCCAAAAATTCTGATTCGATTTTAAAAACTCGAACTATTCTAAAGATTATTTGGGAATCGAGCTGATCAATCTTGGACAAAGATTGGCGGATCCGTTTCTTCGTAATTAACTGTTGAAAAAAAATGTTCTGATGATTTTTTTATGTTAATATAGTCTTTAAGAACATACTAAAATTTTACGGCCCTATCGAAGGTAGTTTAATTTTAAAAATGCATCTAAGTTTAAAAAAATGATCAAATTTGTGTCAAAATTAAAAAAATGGCTAAATTTGTGTCAAAAGCCTCTTTTGTGCTGGATGAGTTAAAATTTGAATATCATCACATATTTAAAAGCCATTTTTTTCGAATCGACGGAAAAATAAATCTACAGAACTAACTTCTCTAATTGTGTAAAAAATGTTACCATTAATTTAAATAATATTATTTTGGTATATTTATTATTATCTGTCACTTATTGTTTTTATTCTACTTTATTGGTTTTCTAGTATTACTTTTATTATTCAGAAATTTTATTTATTTTATTTAATAATTTCATCATTATTATTACTTGCTTTTATTTTACATTAAATGAACTTACTACGGATATCATTTTAATGGAAATTTTATCATTTATTTTGTCCTCTTTTATGTAAATTTATGTTATTGTTCATTATTATTACTAGATGTTAAATTATTTAGCAGTTGTAACAAGTATAGTAATTAAAAAAAAACTAATTTAAATCATTAAATAATATCAAGAGCTACGTACATATGTGTATGTGCACAGTTGACTAATTTTATCTAAATATCTAAATCTTGATTTCGGTTGATTAAATCAATTTGTACACACTTCGGGAAGTTTATGAAACTTACCTTAAGGTAAAATGCCACTTTCAATTAGTTATTTTTAATTTTGAGCATTTTTAGTCACTTACTACATTACATAATATTCTACGCAATTTCTCTATATTATTCATAATACACATGGTGCAATAGTTATTTACGAAGAAACTGACCATTCGATCTTTATAAGATTAAATAAGATGAATACGACAAATCAACGATCATCATAAGGAAATCCTAATCAGAGTGTAGATTAACAGAATAACTATTAATTTATCTCTTGGACCAAAATTTTTCCAGATTTATCATTTAATTACAAAGAAAAACCATTTCTCTTATTATTACCTACATGATTGTTCCAAGACTTTTGAAGCTCATTTCGAAAAGCAAAAAAATTAATGAACGTAAATAATTACCACACACCTACCTACACCATATTTTAATAATATCCAAAACAAAACGAACGGAAAAAAATTCTTCTGAAAAGAAAACACACGTCTGCTTTGTGGTGATCCAACGGAGTTAGTTGCCTTCTATTTCTATATTTAGAGGTAATGATTCGAAAAGCCTGCCTAAACTAAATGCACTTTCTGAAGTAACGAGCAGCAACTAAAAACACAGGATGCAGGATTTTAAAGATCCCGTGTTTAGAGTTTTTGGTTTACTGCCACAGGATATTTATTAGTGGAAATTATTGTAGGCACGAGGTCGAAGACATTATTACATACCGTTGAGAGAAATACGAAATTATCGAGACGATTGTTGGGAAAATGACAATTTTTGAACAAACTAACGTTTCAGAGGTTTCTGAACATTTTGACATACCTTAGAAAAAATGGATGTATGTTTCTGCGGATACAAAGTTTTGTCGACTATTTCGGGAACACGGGTCAACTGATTTGAATAATTCAAAAAACATTCGATTCGTATTGATAAGGAGACGTGCTGATTAGTTTTTGGCGAAGGCAGGTCTAGCCGTTCCGAAGATAAGGGGCAAAAAGTGCCAAAAACGGTAACTCAGTTTTTAAGATAACGGAGCGTCCGATTATAATAATTCAAAAAACATTTTACTTGTATTAACAAGATCAAGAATTGATCAAATTTTCATGAAGGCAGGTACAGCGGTTATGGACTCTCAATAAAAGTAAGTTCAAAAAATGTCATTTGGCGGTCAAAAATGTTTATTGGACATATGTACATCAATTTATCAGATATTTTATAAAGATTTTAATGTGTACACGTTTTGTGTACATTTTTTTGGGTTCCATACCAAGATTTTTAATTACGATACGGAAAGTTCCAGCAATTTGCCTTAAGGCACGATGCCATGCACCCCGCTAGTTACATGCCGTTGAGAGAAATACGTAATTATCGAGACGATTGTTGAGAAAATGAAATTTTTTGAACAAACTCACGTTTCAGAGGTTTTGAACATTTTGGCATACCTCAGAAAAAATGGTATGTGATAAAAAATACCATTTTTCATCGACGTTCTTGTCGAATCAATCGATTTGAATTATTTAAACATAAGATTCCTATTGATAAGGAGACGTGCTGATAAGTTTTTTTACCAAGGCAGCTCTAGTCGTTTTGAAGATACGAGGCAAATAGTGCCAAAAATTGTAATTTAGAAACGAATCCTGCCCCACAACAGACCAATGTTATGGCAAGGCCACGTTACGCACCGACTTGCATACATTATGATACTGATTCATACTGTCAAAATGTCATGTATTTGCTGTGCATTCAGGCGTTTTACACGTAAACTGCAACGTCACTCGTATGTTATGAAGCTGGGCCAGAAAGACCCTGTTATCTAAGATCGTTTTTTTGACATTTGTGCGGTTTCTAAGTTAGGTTTTCTATCTGACAACCTGAGAAAGACGCCTGACTGCATAGCAACCACATGGCTTTTGTCAATATTTAGTATGGAAAGTTCTTCATAAAACAGCCTTGCCATAACATTGGTCTGTTATGCGGCAGAATCGGTCCATCAATTTTTGCTAAGACAGGTCTAACGGTTTCAAATATCCAATAAAAATAAAAAATGCCATGTGGGGGTTAAAAATGATCATAAGACATAAGCGCATCAAATTATCACATTTTATAGATATTTCAACCCTTTCCACTCGGATACCGCCACTCCGGCTGCAAATTACATACTTTCGCAATTAGCAAGTGGAAAGAGTTAATACCAAATTTTGTTTACTTTTGTATAAATTCTGTACCAACATTTATAATATTTAACCTATACTGCGATGTAGCGCTTACGCGCTCCATATAACGTCTATGAAATTATATATTTTTCAAAGTTTTTAGAAAACTGTGAAGCTTTTAACAATTTTAAGTAACGATACGAGAAGTTCTTGCAATTGACTTAAGGCATTACTAGTTCTATTTATTAACTTCCGAACGAAAGGTTTTTATTTTCCCTAGAAAATCGATATGCTATTTAATTTCTCCGAGTTTCAAGTCATTTCGAATCGTTTGATATCAACCTTGCAAAACGAGTATATATGTATTATATATACATTTGTATGTTAGGCGATTTTTTATCTTTTAAATTTACTACCATTTGAGGGAACTCGAAAAGGAGTCGTGTTTGCTAGATGATTTATATATCTTTACGTTTCAAGACTTTCTGAACATTTTGGCATACCTTAGAAAAAATGTGAGTATTCGTGTATGTATGTGCGGATTCAATTTTTTGTCGATTTTGAGAACAAGAATCGACCGATTTGAATGATTTAAAAACCATTCGATTTTTATTGATAGAGTTGTGCTGATTAGTTTTTAGCAAAGGCAGATCCAGCCGTTTCGAAGATATGGGGCAAAGAGTCCGATTTGAATGATTCAGAAAACATTTTATTTGTATTGGCAAAATGAAGAACTGAAGAAACTTTTGGAAAGGCAGGTCTAACGATTTCAGAGATCTAATAAAAGAAGTAAAAGAAAAACCATTTGGCGGACAAAAATGATCATTAGATATATGCACATCAAATTATGACATATTTCATAGATATTTTAATAATAGATACAAATTTTGTTAACTTTTTTATGGGTTTCGTACCAATGTTTATCCGTCATATCGCGACGCAGATTGTTATATAAAAATCCAAAACTTCCAAAATATTTCAAAGCATAAAAAAATGGAATTTTTTAAAAAGAACAATTTTTACCGAAAATTTTAAGTCTCAAGTCTGTTTTCCAAAGTTCTAAAACAAAATTTGTATCTTTTTCAAAAATTTTAATTTTGTACGGGAAGTTCTAGCAATTTGCCTTAAGGCACGATGCCATGCACCACTAGTTTATTCTATGTCTAATACATCTCATATGCATAACTTCCTATGTGTTCCAGCAGTTTGCCTTATGGCACTACTAGTTCAAATTTTACCGTTTTTTTTTTTAAATGATCTATGATAAATTGTGGCGCCAATGACATCGTACATTTTTGTCAAATCTGGCAACACCTAGATAAGGAAAACAGGTATTCGAAACTATTTTTAACAATTTTTACCGAAAACATCGGTAGGCATTCTATACAACTTCCTATGTGTTTCAGAAGTTTGCCTTATGGCACTACTAGTTCAAATTTTACCGTTTTTTTTTTAAATGATCTATGATAAATTGTGGCGCCAATGACATCGTACATTTTTGTCAAATCTGGCAACACCTAGATAATGACAACAGGTATTCGAAACTATTGCAATTTCATCAGTCATCGGTAGGCATTCTATACATTATATACATACACCACTAATTTATTCTATACAACTTCCTATGTATTCCAGAGTTTGCCTTATGGCACCACTAGTTTAAACTGACCGTTTTTGAAAATGATCCACAGGTTGTGGCGCCAATGACATCGTACATTTTTGTCAAATCTGGCAACACCTAGATAAGGACAATTGATATTCGGAACTATTGCAATTTCATCAGTCGTTGGTAAGCAGTCGAAGTGTTCGGATCTCTTCCATCGGGTTTGTTTTGGGTTTTGCAAGTGCCCTTTTGTCGGCGTCGAAGGTCGTTCGTCGATTACGCAATTTTGGGCAAACCTCGTGCGAATAAAATGGTGAGTGAATTATATTATAGGCATTGATTGTTAAACTGAATTGTAAGGTGATTATTTTATTTATCTAGATACAATTGCAATTATTTTCATCGGTAATAATTATGAAATATTTGTCGAAAGTTAGAATGGAAAGATAGCTTACCCGGTGGTAAGCCACTACGTTCTTGAACGAATATTCATACATTTTTGTTTTTATAGAAAGTCTTTGAGCACCTAGCTTAATATTTAATATTAGTTTTTACAAGGAAAGCCTTTTGGTTTATATTTGTAAATTTTGTTTCATCCTAAAATTAAATGGCGTTATAGAAGCATAACTGAATTAAATTATAATCGTGATAGTGGATTACGCAATATACATGCAAATGGCGTCTTGCCTTTGGGCAAGTTGCATGATAGGTGCAAATGTCCGTCTTAAGCAATAGGAATTATTTAAGTATTTTATACAGTTTTGAACTGTTTATTCCGAAAGTAAAGTTTTTGCTTTCAATCAAATCTGAATATTGCGATTTTTTCAATGCAATTATTGCGACGCATCACACACCCATACATACATACACCCATACATACATACACCCATACATACATACACCCATACATACATACACCCATACATACATACACCCATACATACATACACCCATACATACATACACCCATACATACATACATACATACATACATACATATATACATGCATACAATTAGTTGAGACATATATACATGCATACATATATACAATTTTTAGATTTTTTTATTATTTGTAGTAGAATTAAATGACGTTCTAGAAGCATAACTAATAATTCAATTATGATAGTGGATTACGCAATATACATGCAAATGGCGTCTTGCCTTCGGGCAAGTTGCACATAGGTACAAATGTCCATCTTAATCAATATGAATTATTATTTAAGTGTTTAAATACAGTTTTTAACTGTTTATTCCGAAAATACGGTTTTTGCTTTCAATCAAATCTGAATATTGCGATTTTTATCTAAAACTTATCAAAACACATTTAAATTATTTGACGAAAATTTGTATTCGCACGCACACACACACATACATACATATATACATACATGCATGCATACAATTAGTTGAGACATATATACATACATTCATATATACAATTTTTAGATTTTTTCATTTTTATTTGTAGTAGTATTAAATGAGGAAACATAACTTCAATTAAATTTTAATAATGATAGTGAATTACGCAATATACATGCAAATGGCGTCTTGCCTTTAGCGACTTGCACGAACTTCCCTATAGGTCTGAATTTACAATATAAATTGTCATTTAGCTATTTAGATAAAAATTTCAACTGTTTATTCCGAAAGTAAAGGTTTTGCTTTCAATCAAATCTGAATATAGCGATTTTTATGTAAAACTCCTCAAAACAGATTTAAATTATTCGACGAAAATTTGTATTCGCACGCACACACACGCATGCATACATACATACATCCATACATCCATACATACATACATGCAATTTTTAGTTGAGACATTTATACATGCATACATATATACATACACATATGCAATTTTTTAGGTTTTTTTGTTTCACTTTGGACATATATGCATGCATACATTTATATACATATATATAATTTTTAGATTTTTCTGTTCGGCGTTGAGACATACACACATATATACAATTTTTAAATTTTTCTGTTCGACGTTGAGACATACACACATATATACATACAATTTTTAAATTTTTCTGTTCGACGTTGAGACATACATACATATATACCTACAATATTTAATTTTTTTTGTTCGACGTTGAGACATACACACATACATGCATACATACATACATACATACAATTTTTAGATTTTTTTGTTCGACATTAAGACATATATACATGCATACATATATACATACATACATAAGTACATGCATATATACATACATATATACAGTTTTTAGATTTTTTGTTTGTCGTTAAGACTTATATACATACATATGTACAATTTTTAGATTTTTTTTTGTTTGACGTTGACATACCCACATACATACATACAATTTTTAGACTTTTTTTATTCGACGTTGAGACATACATATATACAGACTCATACACATATATAAGTTCCAGCAATTTGCCTTGATATACGATGCCATACACCACTAGTTCAATTTTTGTCTAATTATTATTATTTTAGACCATAAAACATCATTTTTTTACATTTTCTTCTGTATCTCCGAAATCGCTAGACCTGCTTTCACAAAAATTTAATCAATGCTTCCTTTTGCATACTGATTTTTATTTTTACAATTTTAATATACATATTTTTATTATTTTTATTTCATATTTTTATTTTTGCGCGTATTAATTTAGTCGTTCTTTTTAATACTTATTTTTCAGTTCTTTCATTAATTTTCATTGTTTTTATTTATTTATATTTACATTTATAATTTATATTTGCTTTATATACACATACTTTATATATACATACATGCATACAATTATTAAATTTTTTGTTCGACGTTGAGACATGTATATATACATAAATACATACATATATACAATTTTTAAATTTTTTTTGTTCGACGTTGAGACATGTATACATACGTACATATACATATACATATATACACACGCATACACATATATACACACATACATACATTCATATATGCATATATACAATTTTTAGATTTTTTTTTGTTGAGACATATATACACATACAAATATACATACACATACATATATACATACATGCATCCATACATCCATACATATATACATATATACAATTTTTAGATTTTTTTGTTCGACGTTAAGACATACATACATACATACATACGCACATACATACCTACACATAAGCACATGCATAAGCACTTATCATGCATTTTTTCCAAAGTATGCCAAAATGTTCAGAAACCTCTGAAACGTGTAAAGGCATATAAAAATTTTCATTTACGATTTTTTTGCGATTACTATAACTTACCCTACGGCATGTTGATTATATTAATTATAGTGCACAGACATGTCCGAAAATTGTAGCTCATTATTCCAAATTTTAATTAATTTATATAATTCAACCAATTTTTGTGAAACTTTATCGCCATGTTAAATTTCGTGAAAAACGTCGACACTTCTTAGGAAACTTTAATGAATTATTTTGTGAATTTAGTCCTTAATATTATCATTATCATTTATTTTAATAAGGTTTTTTCTCTTTGAATTTATACCAATGGCTTTTAAATCTGTAAAATTCAAATTTTGACTTATCACATCACAAAAGCGAATTTTGGCACAAATTTTGCTTGTCATATTTTTTCAAACTTTGATTTTTTAAAATTGAACCACTTGTCGTATGGCCGTGACATTTTAGTATGTTCTTTACGGCCGTGATATCAGTCAATATAAAAAAACTAGTGGTGTGTGGCATCATGCCTTAAGGCAAATGCTGGAACTTCCAATAATTGAAATATCAATAATAGTAATAATTGAAATGTTTAAAAAAGATGTAATTTTGCTTTAGAACTCTGAAAAAGTTTATTTTTGAGATATTTAAAATTTTTGAAATTGTTGCAAAATTTCATTTTAATACTTTTAATACATATTTTGAACTTTTTTCAAAGCATCCATTACATATACATCCATTTTTTCTAAGGTGAAAGATTTTTTTTGCGATTTCTATAACTTACCCTACGGGAAATTAATTATCTATTTTTTTCAACAATTATTTACAAAAATTGCTGTTTTACTAAAAACTAATTAGCAAGATGTCCAATTAATACCATTTGAACGGTTTTTGAAATTTCAAAATCTAACTATAACGCAGGGGCGTCGCGTGCTTTGGCGGGGCCCCGTATCAAAATTTGTTTGGGGCCCCTTAAGAAGGATAATTTTTTTCATATGCATAAAATTTAAAGGATATTTATTCATCATCTAATTATCTCTAATTTTTTGAAATTTTTATAAATCATTCCAAATATATTTTCTGACTTTTCAGTTTTTCAAAAAACTGAAATATTGAGCGATCTTTAAAATTTCTGAATTTTCTATCTCGAAGTCTTTTCTACGCAGCTAACGTATCGCGATTGCTTTGAAAAAAAAAAAGTTCAAAATTTCCAAAACATAAAAAAGATTCAATGTTTCAAAAAGGTCAAATACTCACAAAATTTTAAAAATCTCAAAGAACTTTTTTTTTCAGATTTCTAATACAAAATTGAATCTTTTTTAAAAATTTTAATTTTGGTACGGAAAGTTCCAGCAATTTGCCTTGGGACACGATGCCATGCACGACTAGTTTAATTAAATTTTTATCATATACTATATTATAATTATATGCATTGAATTACATTTACTGTAACTGTTGGCACTTATCAAAATATCTCTGAGGAATTTTTACACTAATTTTGCTAATTACAAAGAAACGACTCGAGATACATCAAATGGCTTCTGAATCTGTTTATACACACATACACACATAAATGCACACATGCACACATACATACATACATACATACATACATACATATTTTTTCCAAATGTTTGTCTCATTCGATTCAGAATGGCTTCAAACGTCGAGAAAACAAAATAAGCAAATCGGATTTTTTGGCGAAAACATCAACTTCTCCTTCGGGAAGTTGATAAACTAATTATATAAAATTCTAGTTATCTTTTTGTCTTATCTCATAGAAAAATTCCATCCATCCATCCATCTCCCTTTCTAGTCGTCTATCAATTTTCTCCCGTGTTGACCGGACGTTTGTATTTCTTTTTCCTCCAACAAGTAGTCAAAGTCGGAGTGTGTTTTGAGCATATGCTCAATGTTACTTACATGCGTTCAGTAATATTTATAATGTGCGTGTAAGTTGTTGTAAGCTTCGGCTTAGGCTCAATGAACGCAATGAAGGAACGCCGGCCGAGCTATTTTTGTAGCCAGGCCGTCTCGGCGCGTGCCGGCGCAGCTGCCGCACAACTCACCTGTAGAATTGCATTGTAATCGGGCGGAATTCGGTGGTTAATTACAGATTGGTAATTGTTTTGGAATTATAGATAGATTTTATTGAAGTAGAAATAGAAATTTATTCAACTTCCCGGAGAAGTTACTAATTATGTTGTTCGGACGTCTTTTCGTTTTATTATATTGGCCATGAAGGTGACAAAACTTCAGGGCATTAAGGGGCACAACTAGTGTGAAATTTCGAAAAAATCGATTTTTGTTTTTTTTCATATTTCGGTGGATTACACCTTTAAAAATAATATATAAAAATTTCAAATCGATATCTCAAATAGTTTTTGAGTTACAGCCATTTAAAAAGTATATGTATAGTATATAGTACAACGATCATTTTATCTTTAAACGCGTTTTTCTCGAAACAGCATTTTCCGAATTTGCTGCAGTGATTACTCAAAAACGAATGATCCGATCACTATCAAATTTTTTTTACATGTTCTTTATATAGTTCTCCATAAAATGAACTATCGATTTTTTGATCGGATCAAAAATCGAATTTTGGCAGTCGAAAAACGACCAAAATTTTATGTAAAAATCGCGTTTTTTTTAAAAAAAAACGCCGCCATTTTGTCAATTTTTTATTTTTTTCATCGTAGTTTATTTTACAGACAATATTATCTAGTTTAACGAGAATTATTTTTTTTTTATTTTATCCACGTAGAAGGCCGAAATCACTGCAGCAGTTAAGGGCCTTTTTTTGTCGCGCCGTTGGAAATCGACGATAACTTAAAAAATATTTAATTTTTTTCTTCAAAAATTTTACTATGTATTCTTAAAACATGTATAAATATATTCCTAAAATTTTGAAATGATTGATAAAGTAGTTTTTTCAATATAAGCCTTTTTTTAAGGCGGTTTCACTAGTAGTGCCCCCCGGTAGAGGTGGTAGCGGAGTGTTTTAATTGAACTAGTTGCTTCACTTCTAAAAGTAAAGTCCGTTTAACAACATGTAAATAACCAATAAAAATAAATAAATCTTCTTTCATTATAACTTAGTAACAAATCAGTGATTGTAATTAGAACTGCAACAAATACATAATAGACAAACAAATCAGTGCTCAATACAGTCCACAGCTACAATGGTTAAATTATAACCCAACTACCTGATTTATCGAAAGAGATTTTTAATAAATTCTATAACTACGTAACAACTTTGAACAACGTGCCGACTTTTGAAGTCACTCTGAATCGAACGAGACCAGGAAAAAGAATTTCGAAAAACTAAACTAGTTAAAAGTGGCATTTTGCTTTAAGACGAGTTGCATGAACTTCTCGAAATATGTAATAATTGACTTAATCAAACGAAATTGAGATTTTGATAAATTTTCAACTGTTTATTTCAAAAATAAAGTGTTTGCTTACAATTAAATCTAAACATTGCGATTTCGAATAGAATTTTTTCAAACACATTCAAATTATCTGTAATTATATTAAGTTGCACAGACACGTGCTTGTATGCCCATAAGTTGTAGATTATTATTAACTTCCCGTAGGGTAAGTTATTGTAATCGTCCAAAAATCGAAATTGAAAATTTTTGCATTTCTCGACGTTTTGAAGGTTTCTGAACATTTTGGCATACCTTAGAAAAAATGGATGTGTGTGTGTGTGCGGATACAAATTTCTTGGATTTCTTCAGCAAACCATTATTGAATATTATCTTAATTTGCACAATCTATTCAAAAGATTACTTAATAAAATGATCGATTTTATTCACTATTATTGAAAATGTCATTTTCTATTCGTATCTAAACTAGATCCAATATTAATGATACTAAATTAGAATTGTTTATTATCTTTATTAACTATTATATATTACATTACAATTTCATGTATGGCATCTTTACGTTTTGAAGGTTTCTCAACATTTTGACGTACCTTAGAAAAAATGTGTGTGTTTGTGTGCATGCATGTGTGTGTGTATGTGGATACAAATTTTCGTGACGATTTGTTGAAAACGGGTCGACCGATTTGAATAATTCAAAAAGCATACGATTAAAATTTAGTTTCAGATAGACTTACAAAGAGTAATCAAAACTTACTTTTACCTTTTAAATTTCAGCTCTGCAAAAAAATATGTGTCGACAATAAGAATCAAGTAATTGACTTACAAAAATAAGTCAGCTCTGGAATGAGAATCCTGTATTATCTTACTACTGTTTTCTTGTGCGGTAAGATCAGAAAAAGCATTTCTTATTTCATAAGATACAATTGAGTTCTCATGGAAACCTAGAGAATAATTATGCTTTCTAATATACACTTACGAAATACTGCAAGGACAATATCGATGCATTGTTTTTTTTAAAAACATACTACAAGCTTCAACTGTTGACTACTATAATACTTACATTTCAAATAATATAAGACCATAAAATTATTTATTCATACATTTATCTATTTATATGTTAAATAACTGATATGAAAATTTGTTGAATCAAGATAGTAAAATATTTTTTTACTATTTTTTATTATTAAAATTACTTTTAATTATATTGATAATTATCTAATCGGATCAATTCGAATTTAGTTCCGCACGATGTCATTTTTGGCGCGTGTCAAGTGGCTCCGCCGGCGACTTGATGGCAAACTAAGTCTGCGTGGTTGTCAACTCGTTCATTTATATGATGGGCAACAAAGCAAGAGGACCTCCAGGACCAAGAAAAGACCCAGGGAAGTACCCAATAATAATAAGTTGGTTATGAGAACGCAAGCAAAATCAAACAAATCATTGAGAGTTCTCTCATTCATTCATTCATTCATTTGCTTTTGCTTGTATTGTATTTTAGTTTTGAGCAATTTTTTTAACAACTTGTGACGCCGACGGGAGAACGGCATACGTAATTTGGCGCAATCCTATCTATTTAACATATGTAAATTCCTGCGATATAGCATTCAATTTTTTTTTTTAATTCTACTTTGTTAACAAATTATCAATTATGTAATGCCTTGATTCAGATAATTACTTGCATGCTAATGTAGTAGTTTGGGGTAGTAGTAAATTATATAGGTAGCATTCGTAGTTCTAGTTTTGACTGACACACTAACACAATAATCCACTATTAAACAACAATGTAATAATCTGAATCATTTGACATTATGTATTACTCAATTATATAATTATTAAACTATCGTGATTTATAAACAACTGCCGCCGTTTGCAATCCGTATAGCATTACGCCAATTTATGGAGAAATATTCTAATATGCATAAATTTTTACATTGATGCATCGATTTTTTTTTCATCATTGTTGGAGTTCAAGTATCCATCAGGCGGTCTGTATTCTTTATCAAACATTTTAAAAAGTGTTCTAATCTTTTGTTTTTTTTTTATTTCAGATTCAATCATTCACTTCTGAATCAACAGCCTCCATCAAACCGTAAGAACTTATCAAGTATCTATCAGGCAGTCTGTATCCTTTATCAAACATTTTAAGAGAAGTGTTCTAATCTTTTGTTTTTTTTTCTGATTCAATCATCCACTTCTGAATCAACAGCCTTTAATCCATCAAACAGTAAGAACTTATCAAGTATCTATCAGGCAGTCTGTATCCTTTATCAAACATTTTAGAAGACATGTTCTAATCTTTTGTTTTTTTTTTTCAGATTCAATCATCCACTTCTGAATTAACAGCCCTCATCGCCTTCAATCCAACAAACAGTAAGAAGTTATCAAGTATCTATCAGGCAGTCTGTATCCTTTATCAAACATTTTAAAAGACGTGTTCTAATCTTTTGTTTTTTTTTTTCAGATTCAATCATCCACTTCTGAATCAACAGCCCTCATCGCCTTCAATCCATCAAACAGTAAGAAGTTATCAAGTATCTATCAGGCAGTCTGTATCCTTTATCAAACATTTTAAGAGACGTGTTCTAATCTTTTGTTTTTTTATTTCAGATTCAATCATCCGCTTCTGAATCAACAGCCCTCATCGCTTATAATCCATCAAACAGTAAGAACTTATCAAGTATCTATCAGGCAGTCTGTATCCTTTATCAAACATTCTAAGAGACATTTTCTAATCTTTTGTTTTTTTATTTCAGATTCAATCATCCACTTCTGAATCAACAGCCCTCATCGCTTATAATCCATCAAACAGTAAGAAGTTATCAAGTATCTATCAGGCAGTCTGTATCCTTTATCAAACATTCTAAGAGACATTTTCTAATCTTTTGTTTTTTTTTTCAGATTCAATCATCCACTTCTGAATCAACAGCCCTCATCGCTTATAATCCATCAAACAGTAAGAAGTTATCAAGTATCTATCAGGCAGTCTGTATCCTTTATCAAACATTTTAAGAGACGTGTTCTAATCTTTTGTTTTTTTTTTCAGATTCAATCATCCACTTCTGAATCAACAGCCCTCATCGCCTTCAATCCATCAAACAGTAAGAAGTTATCAAGTATCTATCAGGCAGTCTGTATCCTTTATCAAACATTTTAAGAGACGTGTTCTAATCTTTTGTTTTTTTTTTCAGATTCAATCATCCACTTCTGAATCAACAGCCCTCATCGCCTTCAATCCATCAAACAGTAAGAAGTTATCAAGTATCTATCAGGCAGTCTGTATCCTTTATCAAACATTTTAAGAGACGTGTTCTAATCTTTTGTTTTTTTTTTCAGATTCAATCATCCACTTCTGAATCAACAGCCCTCATCGCTTATAATCCATCAAACAGTAAGAAGTTATCAAGTATCTATCAGGCAGTCTGTATCCTTTATCAAACATTTTAAGAGACGTGTTCTAATCTTTTGTTTTTTTTTTCAGATTCAATCATCCACTTCTGAATCAACAGCCCTCATCGCTTATAATCCATCAAACAGTAAGAAGTTATCAAGTATCTATCAGGCAGTCTGTATCCTTTATCAAACATTTTAAGAGACGTGTTCTAATCTTTTGTTTTTTTTTTTTTCAATCATCCACTTCTGAATCATCCACTTCTGAATCAACAGCCCTCATCGCCTTCAATCCATCAAACAGTAAGAAGTTATCAAGTATCTATCAGGCAGTCTGTATCCTTTATCAAACATTTTAAGAGACGTGTTCTAATCTTTTGTTTTTTTTTTTCAGATTCAATCATCCACTTCTGAATCAACAGCCCTCATCGCCTAATCCATCAAACAGTAAGAAGTTATCAAGTATCTATCAGGCAGTCTGTATCCTTTATCAAACATTTTAAGAGACGTGTTCTAATCTTTTGTTTTTTTTTTTTCAGATTCAATCATCCACTTCTGAATCAACAGCCCTCATCGCTTATAATCCATCAAACAGTAAGAAGTTATCAAGTATCTATCAGGCAGTCTGTATCCTTTATCAAACATTTTAAGAGACGTGTTCTAATCTTTTGTTTTTTTTTTCAGATTCAATCATCCACTTCTGAATCAACAGCCCTCATCGCCTTCAATCCATCAAACAGTAATAGTTATCAAGTATCTATCCGGCTGTCTGTATCCTTTATCAAACATTTTAAGAGACGTGTTCTAATCTTTTGTTTTTTTTTTCAGATTCAATCATCCACTTCTGAATCAACAGCCCTCATCGCCTTCAATCCATCAAACAGTAAGAAGTTATCAAGTATCTATCAGGCAGTCTGTATCCTTTATCAAACATTTTAAGAGACGTGTTCTAATCTTTTGTTTTTTTTTTTCAGATTCAATCATCCACTTCTGAATCAACAGCCCTCATCGCTTATAATCATCAAACAGTAAGAAGTTATCAAGTATCTATCAGGCAGTCTGTATCCTTTATCAAACATTTTAAGAGACGTGTTCTAATCTTTTGTTTTTTTTTTTTCAGATTCAATCATCCACTTCTGAATCAACAGCCCTCATCGCCTTCAATCCATCAACAGTAAGAAGTTATCAAGTATCTATCAGGCAGTCGTATCCTTTATCAAACATTTAAGAGACGTGTTCTAATCTTTTGTTTTTTTTTTCAGATTCAATCATCCACTTCTGAATCAACAGCCCTCATCGCTTATAATCCATCAAACAGTAAGAAGTTATCAAGTATCTATCAGGCAATCTGTATCCTTTATCAAACATTTTAAGAGACGTGTTCTAATCTTTTGTTTTTTTTTTTCAGATTCAATATCCACTTCTGAATCAACAGCCCTCATCGCTTATAATCCATCAAACAGTAAGAGTTATCAAGTATCTATCAGGCAGTCTGTATCCTTTATCAAACATTTTAAGAGACGTGTTCTAATCTTTTGTTTTTTTTTTTTCAGATTCAATCATCCACTTCTGAATCAACAGCCCTCATCGCCTTCAATCCATCAAACAGTAAGAAGTTATCAAGTATCTATCAGGCAGTCTGTATCCTTTATCAAACATTTTAAGAGACGTGTTCTAATCTTTTGTTTTTTTTTTCAGATTCAATCATCCACTTCTGAATCAACAGCCCTCATCGCTTATAATCCATCAAACAGTAAGAAGTTATCAAGTATCTATCAGGCAATCTGTATCCTTTATCAAACATTTTAAGAGACGTGTTCTAATCTTTTGTTTTTTTTTATTCCAGATTCAATTATCCACTTCTGAATCGATCGACTCTAATCAGACTGTAAGCGCTCATGAAGGATCAGTCGACAATCAACTGCTTGGATTTTGGAACACTAATTCTTATAAATTTGCACAAGTGGTTCTTTTTGTAACTGTTTAGTCTTGCATGCATGTTCTTACCAGTAGTCTTACTAACTCATTAACAATACTAACATTTTAATAACGTAGTTTGATCAGTTACAATAACAACCACTTGTTGCAGTTCACTTAGGAAGACTTAATGAAACGGCTCAGAAGAAAACACTTGGTGAGTTACATTTTTATAATGTATTATAGTAGTCGGAATTATTATTAATTCAATGATTTTGTTTACAGGGTAAACAATGACCGATTCAGGATGCTCACACACCGGCCTGCATTGGACCTATCTTGCTGTCAGAAACAACATGCTACGTTCAATCAAGGGTTATGATTTGGATACTTATAATATATTCATCTAATTATTAAATAAATACATTGTTGTATTAATTCAATTTGTTGTTTTAATTTCCATTAATTATTTACTTATAAAATAATTTAATTATATTACATAAATATTTAAACCTATTTTAATGTTATAGGTGTGATAGAGGAATATCATCCGTCAGTTGTGATCAATCAAGACAATGTGAAGTGAACAGCAACCGAATGGCTCCATTGTGAAAACTGCATATACAAAAGTTTCAATATTAAAACGTTTGTTGTGCAAACAAATATAAGTATTAGAATATTTTTATACTTACAATTGAGAATTCTGTTAAATAATAATTTATTGATTAGTTTTATAGACGTATTTGACATAACTTCAGGCTTTCCTCTGACTTTTCCTCAAATGTCTTGGATTTTGCTCGAATGGCCTGCGACCTCGTCTATACTTGTACCCTGGTGTCTCTGTACTTGTACTTTTACCCTGGTGTCTCTGTACTTGTACTTTTACCCTGGTGTCTCTGTACTTGTACTTTTACCCTGGTGTCTCTGCACTTGTACTTTTACCCTGGTGTCTCTGCACTTGTACTTTTACCCTGGTGTCTCTGCACTTGTACTTTTACCCTGGTGTCTCTGCACTTGTACTTTACCCTGGTGTCTCTGCACTTGTACTTTTACCCTGGTGTCTCTGCACTTGTACTTTTACCCTGGTGTCTCTGCACTTGTACTTTTACCCTGGTGTCTCTGCACTTGTACTTTTACCCTGGTGTCTCTGCACTTGTACTTTTACCCTGGTGTCTCTGCACTTGTACTTTTACCCTGGTGTCTCTGCACTTGTACTTTTAC